AAAATTCCAATCTCATAAATATGTAAGCTTTACACATATTTTTTTTTCTTAAAACAACAAGATATAATTTAAAATAGTTAAAATTAGAACCAGACAACAATAACATTACAAGACTTAATGTGGTATTTTATTTATTGTTTAATACTTAATTATATATTTCAATTAATAATTTTATATTTTAATGTAAGATTTTATTATTTAATATTGATGTAATATTTTTATATATGTACTAGTTATTTATAAAAAAAATTATGAATTTGAACTAGCTATAATAAATATAAGGATCATAGTATCAAATACAAATAGTTTTAAAGTTAAGTTTAAAGTTTTGTTTTTGGAGCATAACATTTATAAACTTCATATATAAAGTTTTGTAAATTTTAAAATAGAGTGTTTTTCTGGAGATGCTCAAATGTCTTAAAGCTACGTGTAATCTCGATGGTTAATTGATGCAATTTCATTCCATTGTACAGAACGAATGGAGAGTGTTCGTTATGTAATGTGATCACATCATTGGAGAGATTCAAAACTCATTACCTTAATTTAAGAAAAAAAAAAACTCATTACTATAAATTCCAAAAAGAAAACAAATGTTGTTCTCTGGCTCTTGCGCGTGTGCGTGGTTCGAGAATGTCATATATCTGTGAGTAGCCCCACGTCTTTGATTGTCGGTTCGGTCTCATCCACCGACACTCGATACAGTTTTTTCATTTGTTTACAACTATACAACTTTTTTGATATATATTGTAAATTGAATATCTCTTCACCTATCAATTATGCGTCGGTCCAAATACCAAGTAGCAAATTTTATCTTTAGTTTAGTTGCTTCTTCACGTGATATAATTTTCATTGGGACAATTATTCAATGGTTTGTCTAGACTCTCAACAAGAGAGTCAGAGACAAAGAGTTAAAAAAAAAAGTTTAACAAATCATTAGAAAGTTTATTCACCATCATAAGATATGAAGGATTCAAAAGAAAGTTCCTCACTAAAGAAATCATTTACAGATTCAATCTGTACATAAAAAAATACAAGATTTGGAAAACAATCAAAACATCAACAATGCTGAATTTGATTTACATCAAAAACCAAGATCATCAAAGTAACTCACTAGAACTCTTGCTTGCGGGTAAAGATTCAAAAGTCTCAAACCATGCAGTCATTCGGTCACTAAACAATTTTCATTCAAAGTTGTTTATGGTGTTAATCATTTAGTTCGCTTATTCAACAAAATCCGTCTTAAGCATTTTTGGTTTAAAAATTGAGTTTAGTTTCAGTTTGTGATATAGATTGGGTTCGAGTTAGGTTCAAGGTCGGGTTACTTTTTAGTTTAAAAGAAACGTAAAGAAGTATTTTCTCAAAAAACAAAAAAGCGTAAAAAAGTCAATACAAAAATCATTAGGGTTTACTATCTTATGGGCGCAAGAATACCTAATTTTTGTGTTTCGCTTTTTACATTTTTCAACATAAATTCTTCTATTGGTTTGGTTTGGTTTGGTTAACAGTTTGTTAACTAAAACGTTAAGCTTGGAAATATATGTATTTGGTTGATCTGGTGTAAGCTAGAAAATAGTTTGATTTGGTTAGATGGTTAAGCGGCTTATTGCATATTTAGGTCAAATGTTTTTTTTGGTAACCAAAAATGTTTTGGCCCTTTGGTGACTTGGTCTATATTTATTTCTTTAGATATGAGAGAAGTAAGTTAATTCAATCTCTATCATATATATACGTCCAGTTGAGTTCTGTGAAATTACTTTTTGGTTAAATTCTGAAGTTTGGATCCCTTCAATTTTAATTGCCATCGTTCATTAGAGCACCCCTATTAAGGGATGATAGAGGGAGTTCACACGCAAACTAAAATCAGATTTCTAAGAACCCCTCTCTCAAAAGTTCACTGCGGTGAACCCGATGACCCCAGATTCACCACGTATCAGTTAGTGATTGGTCAATTATTATTATTTTTTTTTAAAGTAAACAAAAAAAAATATTTTTTTATTTGTGTGAACCCCTCCCCATGAGTTCAGTTACCATGCTTGACAAAGGTTTCACTTATCCAAGCATAGTGTCTAGACTCGTAGTGAAAGTCTTGTTATTTACATAAATGCCTTCATCAACTGAGTAAATTATCCCCGTTTTAGACTCTGACAACGGTTTAACATATCTAGTTTGAACCTACATATATGTGTTTAAGTTATAATATATATTAACAATAGTTAGATATGCTGTATGTATCTAGTTTGAGATATGAAGTAAACGTTTAGATATCTTCAAACTAGATAGTTCGATATGTTTCATGTATCTAGTTTGAGTTCTGAAGTAAACGTTTAGATATGTTCAAACTAGATAGTTGGATATGTTACATGTATCTAGTTTGAGCTCTGAAGTATACGTTTAAGATGTGTTCAAATTAGGCATCTTATATATCGAGTATAAAGTCTGAAGTAAACGTTAAGCATTAAACCAAAAAAGTGATACTAGCTCTATTTGTCACAAAATGGTTAAGCTTGTGTCTAGTTGGTTCTACTAATCACATCAAAAACGCCGAAAGTGAAACTTTTTTTTAACAAAGTGGGTTTGGTGGTCGCACTCTACGATCTTATTCAATAAACTTTATTGTCTTTTCTTATCTGAGATTTCACGAAGGAAAAGGTAAAAGGTAAAGGAAGAAGAAGAGGGGCTAGTAGAAGAAGATCTTTGTAGTGGGATACTCTTCCTCAGCACTGGACATGCATCGTGGGACACACTCTCACGTCTTTTTCCACAACACGACGAGAACAACATTATCAAAATATGGTAACCTGACTTGGTCAATTTCTTAGCCATATTTGTAATTCCTCCTCTTTTCTTTATTTCTTTCCATCAGTTATGTACTTGAATGCATTATATACATAAATAAATTGGAATGAAATAAAAGTACAAGCTTCACGCCCACAACCTGAAAGAATATGCAATTTGAATTTTGTACTAGTTTTCAAAGTATGTAAATGAAAATATTTTAAATATTATCTACTTATATTAGGAGGAAAATACTGATCTATAACATCAACATGTTTTCCTTTTTATTAGCAGAATGATCATCTTCATTGTGTAACTTGGGGAAATAACTCAAACATCATTGGTTTAGACATTCAATGTGGAGTGAAATGATTAGAAATTGTAAAAATAATTAACCGAAGCGATCAGATAGTTAGCATGCCAAGTTCCATAGGTAAATTACTACATAATTATGTGCATTATAATTATCTTTAATGCATTATACCAGTTTCTCTCCTGACTAGAAAATAAAAATAAATCATTTCTATGAGTTTTAGTCATGTTTTAAGACATGTGACAAGCGAAACTAACAGATGCGAAAGGGAAAAAAAACTATCAGAAACCTCGACTGCGGTTTAGCTCCTTCCGATGATGGCATGTACATGCCCATGAAAATCCACAATCAGGTTGATTTATTTGTTTATAAAAATGATCAAAACACAATCTTCTTCTTTCTAACACAATCTTCCTTCCTTTCTATTCCTTCCTTTATTTTTTTTATTAGTTCTAAACTTCTCTAACACTTTTAAGGACCCAAAGTATTTTTGATCATCAAGTTCTAAATTGTAAGAGAAAACAATAAAAACGATAAGGCTCGGTCAGGTGGGTTAGGCGCAATTCAGTACCACCCTGGGCCCATAGGCCCATTTATATCAAAGCGTTGGAAAACTTATCATAAATAGATTGATGTACATGCACGAGAGATTTTCTTCCTTTCGAAGCTTACAAGTAATAAAAAAGTAAACAAGGCATTATTATTCACGTGGTATACGACGTGTGGAATAATGATGTAATGCCCCAACCGCCCATAGCTAATGGGCCACTTACGCCCGCTCTCTCGGTCCGTGGGTTCACCCGTTCTAACGGTCGGTCCGTTAATTTTCCAAGGTTCTAGAGTCATGTTTACTAATCCTGCAATCACCACATGATCTTTCCCCATGCTTTGACCTCACTTACACGGTATCACAAATCACTTTTCGATAGGTCACCCATCCTTTGACTACTCCAGTTCAAGCATGCTTAACTTTGGAGTTCTCTCTGGATGTGCTCCCGAAAAGGTAAGTGCACTTTGGTGACATAGGTAGCCAAATCAATTCTCTTAAGCATTTCCATATACCACAAATTGGGATGTTACAATTCACCCCCTCTCAAAGAACGCAACGTCCCTGTTGTGCCCCAAGATCGTTACCCATGTTAGTGTGAGCCCTCACTGACTCCACACTCGTCGGGGTTCGGCTCTGATATCACTTGTAACACCCCGACCGCCCACAGCTAATGGGCCACCCACACCCGCTCTCTCGGACCGTGGGCCCCATCCCGTTCCAACGGCCGGTTTGTTAAGACTCCACACTCGCCAGGGTTCGGCTCTGATACCACTTGTAACGCCCCGACCGCCCACAGCTAATGGGCCATCCACGCCCACTCTCTCGGCCCGTGGGCCCCATCTCGTTCCAATGGCCGGTTCGTTAATTTTCTAAGGCTCTAGAGTCATGTTTACTGACCCTGCAATCACCACCAGACCTTTCCCCGTGCTTTGGCCTCACTTACACGGTATCGCAAATCACTTCTCGATAGGTCACCCATCCTTTGATTATTCCATTTCAAGCACGCTTAACTCTGGAGTTCTCTCTAGATGTGCTCCCGAAAAGATAAGTGCACTTTGGTGACATAGGTAGCTAAATCAATTCTCTTAAGCATTTCCATATATCATAAACCGGGACGTTACAGATGATTTGAGGGAATTTCAGTATATGCTAAATCCGTAGGAAGATAGAGAAATCTGGGATTTGAACAAGCTTTTAGGAGGTGCTTAGAAAGGAATTTGAACAAAATGAGAGATTGAAAATGAATATTTATGTACTTTTATAAATTCTTTATAAACTAGTAGATGGCTTTTACGAAACAACCTTGATTCCATAGAGCACAACCTTGATTCCATTGAGCTTCCAAAGCAAAGCCTTGATGAATCAGTATTCATTAGCATCATACCAGTCCACCAGTTTCTTCATAATTCTTTCAAGATCTCTGAAATCTCTCCTCACTAGCCTAACTTTCATTCCTCTTCCCACAGGGTCTCTCACTAAGCTTACCATCTCATCTAAAACCTCCTTAACTGATTCAGTGTACCTTGTTCTCTCTAACAAGTGAATAGCAACACAGAAGGCACCCACAAATGCTGACCCAGCAACTGTTATCTACCAACAACAACTCTCCTGGTGGGTTCAACATTCTCCTTATCTATGGGAGAAGATTATCAACCGCAAGAATCACATACTCTTTATCATCAAGCATCATTGTTAAGCACTACAAGATATAAACAGTTCTCTCGAACTGTGTACTGCATTCTGTATTCAGTATAGTCACATAGTTCAAACCATTATACTCTTGGTAGCACAACAACTCAAGTGCAACGTGAAACACCACTTTGCCAAGAAGCTTGAACGTGTTCTCCGGTACTCCTACTTCATTGAGGCAGGACATAAGCAGTTTCTTGATTTTCCTGGAGTCTTCCCACTGCTATCTCTCTGAACATGTGACATGTCATCCATGCAGTTGCTGCCACCATTTGCAAGATACCCATTGCAGATAAGGTCTTCAAGTTGTTGTACAAGTCAAAGTAAAACCGTTGATTCTCCCGTTTTGTGACTATTTGATAGATCTTCCTAGCAGCCTCGCGTATATCTGTTCCGATTCCTGCGATCTTGTACGCAAACTCTGATACAAAACTGCCTTGGTAAGTAGGTTTTCTGCTAAGCTTCTAATAGCTTATAACTTATAAGCATCGCTCTGAGAGATTCGTAGCGGCTGTTCTGAACAGAGACATACAGTTAACAAAGACAAGACAGAAACCTCATATCAAATGAAGGTTTTGTTTCGTCAGGGTTTAGTGAACATCGTTTCGTGGAGAAGAAAACGTTTCTCTTCTCATCATCATAGAAATAGGGTTAAACAAAGATAGAACTGAATTAATCTGTAGTTATTATAAACTTTGTAGCATAGTAATGCTTAAGAAAAGTCTGATGTTTGGGTCACACAAACAGGGCAAATCGTTATTGTTCTTCTCTAGTAGCAGATTAAAGATGGTATTTCTATTCTTTACGATCAGATTTTTTTTTTGTCTGCGTAAAAGTTCAATTGTTAAAAAGGACTACTCATTTGTTCAAATACCAACTCTTGAGATAGTATTTCTGTCTACAGATTTTCAACTACAAAACTTTAACAAATAAACCATAATAATCCTGGATATATTCTATTAAATAAAATCCTTGTTTACCAAAGGGGGATAATCCTAGATATCTACTCTATTAAAATATAGTCATTATTTTTATCTACTGATAGAAGTTGTCATTTAAATTTGGACTCTTTCTAGAGTGTTACAAATAATACAAATCATATAGTTAATTGAACTGTATTACTTAAATTAAACCGATGGTTATTTATGGGATATAGTCTTGGGCTTACTTTTGTTTTTAGAACAAATTATATGGTTTGGTTTTTGGGCTTATTATTAAGGAAAAATTCTAAAAAACATTGAATAAACTTTCCACCTTAATGGATCAAAAAATTAGTTATTATTTTCAAGCCCAAAAGGTATTTAATATTTTTAAACAAAACAAAATTGTCTATTATTAATCATTTATTTAAATCATGTACTTTAAAACATGTTAATTTTATTTTATTTTAAATAACAATTACTTTGTTTTGATAAATTTCAATGGTAACTTTTAAATAATTTATTGTTTTATTTTTCTTAAATAATTTACTGATTTAAAAAAAATGTAAAGCAAAACCAAAAACCAAATCCAAAAACTGAAAAAGAGGTTATATTTTTTTTTTTACTTTTATTTATTTACAATATAAACTATTGCAAATTTCTTTAAAAAATTTTTGTCATCTTTTCAGTTTTAAATTAGATGTTCGATTATTTGAGATTTGTTTGTTAGTAATTTCAATTCAAACTAACTCAACGGGTCTAAAAATTAAAAACCCAAACTAAAATCTGAAAATCAAAAATAGAAACTTAAAAACTAAAACCAATAACCAAAAACCAAAATCTAAAAATAAAAACTGAAACTAAAAACTAAAGAATAACAATCATCACCACAAATTTTGGTGAATTGATTTTATCCCAAAACATTCTTTAAATTATGACAAAACCCAATTACATAAATTTTTATTCATAAAAAAATTTTGCGCTTGTATAAATCATTGATCCAATAAGATACAATTTACAGAAATTATATAAACTAGGTGTTTTGCCCGCCCTTGCGGACTTAATAATTTTACTAATATCAATAAATAACTATATAATAAATTTAATTAAATTATAAGAAATTATTGCTAATAGAGTCAAAATATTTAATAATAAACTAAACACATTTTTCTATATATAAAATTTTTCATCATCATATAAATAATTTTCATTACACAAATTAAATTTGAAAATACTCATAGTTTAAAATATTTAGTAATAGATTAATATCATTTTTAGACATAACAAAAAATGTATAATAAAATTATCTTTAGTAATGTTTTGGATAACACAATATAAATTATTTATACATAAATTATTTTCGAATTGATTTTTCTTAATTGACTATATATTAACAAATAGAATTATTTTTCAAGGTTAGTAAAAACTTTATAACACAATATAAAAAAGTTAGATAAAGATAATTATCAAATACATTAAATTCGTTTTTAATTAAGAATTAATTATATATTGACAAATATAATTATTTTTCAAGGTTGGTAAAGATTTTATAACATAATATAAAGATTTTATAACATAATATAAAAAGTTTAAATAAGGATAACTATCAAATAAATGAAATTCATTTTTAATTTATAATTAAATTATCTTTTAATTATTCATTAAGGGTATAAACGATATTAACCGCTCTAACAAAAATGAATTCTTCCAAATCATCAATTCAACAAGCCCCCCTAAGACTAACAGAATACACATTAACATCTTACAAGTTACCTAAAATACAAAATATTATAAGAATATAGAATATTAAAAGTAAAAGCGTAAGATTGACAAAAAAAAATTATGATTTTTAGGTATCATTAATCCAAAATACAGAAAATGTTAATATTTACAGAAAAAACGATAGTAGTATTCCATATATAACTTAGACTAACAAAATAATATTAACATTTTATAAGTTACTGAAAATATTAACTAAAATATGTCTTTTGGGTCTAATAAATCTTAAGTACATTTAATACTAAAATAAAATGTTAAATTAATTTTAGAATAGTTAATTTACTAATTTTAAATACGTAAAAATTTCCACAATTCTATTTGTTAAAATTCCTAAAACTATTTGCCAAAAATCCATAAAATATATTTTAAAATTTTCAAAATATATTTGTTATAATATAAAAATGAGACGTATATAAACATATCACAATATCATAGTGTATATAAATGTTTTTAGGTCAGCATGATGTTCTAACTATCTAATCTCACAGTTGATTAAAATATATGATTTGATAATGTTTACTCAATACCAAAATATTTTCATATCAAAGTATTTGTTATCTCATGTTTTATAATTTTAATTTCTCTGGTGCATTAGTCACAGCGAAATAAATATTTTATGTTTGGTTTTCCTAACTCTATCACATATTATTTAGTTTGGAATCATAATGTTTTATTCATAAAGATAAGAAACATATTATTCATCCATATTATGTTAACTGTTGTCTTTATATAAGTCTTAAAGATTGACTTTTAAATTACTAAGCAACTTATCACTAACATAAAAAATCAAAAAATCAAAATCGAAAGAGTAATACTAACAAATGGTAAAATTCATATTAAACATCCAAACATAGCTTAAATACAATATTACCTTAATCATATGATCAAATTGGTCTGGAAGTTGAGTCCAAAATATTAAGAATATATCCACATGAACTGTAAAACACCAGTCAAAATATGACAAAAAACTATTTTAAAACATTTCAATCTTTTAAAATTTTTATTTTTAAGATAAAATAGAAATACATATAAAATCAAACTAAGAAAAATAATTACAAATAGAATATCTAAAGAAAATAAATTAAAGAATCAAAGCAATAAAATATAATTCAAAAACACATATATTTTTAAAATTGAAGCTACCAAATGTCAAAAACACACTTTGGAAAGTTGAAGCTACCTAATGTTAAAAATATTCATAATAATTTATTTTAGATTCCATTATATTTTTATTTTAAAGAAATACACATATAAAATTGTTTGAATTCATGCTTATCAAAATTTATTAAAAAAATCAACATATTATATAAAAATAAAAATAATCTTTCACAATTTTATCAAAAAAAAGTATTTGTATAACAATGTTAATAAAGTATATGAAAACATAAAAAAATCCAAGATGCTCACCAAATAAATTAGTTATATCTTTTAATAATAGTAACAATCAATATTGACATTAGAGTATGGTCTTAGCCATAACAAACAAGAAAGATATGGAAAATACTCATTATACATTAATCAATTGGAGACTACAGTATTTGATAATATTAATCGATAAAGTCAAAACAATAAAATTTTGAAAATCTTCTAACAATTAGGAAAAAATAGCCTTGAACTAATAAAATACCATAGTCTCAACATTAATAGTAGGAGATATATCTAATATTATAGATTTATATATTCTAATGTTAATAAAGCAACATATTACTTAACATTAGTTAAAACTATTTACATTTATTTCCCCTTTTCTTATATCTAATAATAAAAAATAATATTTAAGTTATTATGATTAAAACCTAAATCTAAATATTATACTATCAATTATGCATATAAAGAATTAAATAAGAGTATTTCAAATACATACATACACTCAATAAATATATAATAATCATACACTTATATTAAAATTTTGGTAAATATAAAGCAGGATTGATAGTGTGTACATATAGTAATATTGCATTCCGCTGAAATAGAAAAAAATAAAATTATAATAAAATATTCATAACAATATAATAGTGGTTAATACGAATCGAAAATATACAATTTTCAGAATTATGATTAATAAAGTATATAAATATGTTTAAAATACAATTATACATTTACATATACAAACAAAAATATCTAAATATTTTTTTTATTTAATTAATAAAATTGAATGAAATTTTAAATGATAAAATTAAGAAATTATACTTTTAAAAATTTCATAGAAAAAATGTATTGCCATGTAAATAATAATGCCTTATTACTTTGTTCTAAGATTTATATGTAAGCTTCGAAAGGAACAAAATCTCTCATGCATGTACATTAATCTATTTATGATAAGTTTTCCAACGCTTTGATATAAACTAGATTTTGATCCGCGCATAATTTTTTTATGATTAAAAGTTTATATAATTGGATTTTGTCTTTATTTAAAGTATGTTTTAGTATAAAATCAGTAATCAAAAATTTGTGGTGATGATTTTTTTGCATTAGCTTTTAGTTTCAGTTTTTATTTTTCGATTTGGTTTTAGATTTTGGTTTTTTGTTTTTTGTTTTCAGTTTTTAGTTTTTAAGTTTATATTTTTAATTTGCAGCTTTTGGTTTGGGTTTTTAGTTTTTAGATCCGCTGAGTTAGTTTGAACTGATATTACCAACAAACAAATCTCAAATAATCGAACATCTAATTTAAAACTGAAAAGATGAAAAATTGCAATTTTATTTTGTAAATAAACAAAAGCAAAAATATAAACTTCGTTTCCAGCTTTTGGTTTTAGATTTTAATTTTTATATTTGGTTTTTGGTTTTGCCTTACATTTATTTTATTTTAAGTCAGTAAATTATTTAAGGAAAATAAGAATAAACTATTTAAAAGTCACCATT